CACAATAAAAACCTTAAAAAAAAAAAAAAATTCTATGGTGAAAACTCTCATATCATTTCTATCACCAGGGCATATTTTCTAACTACCAGTCCTTCTTTGTTCCCAACTTGCCATTCCAATTACCAATGCATCTTAACTGCATATATGATTAATTTCAAACTGCAGACGTTGGCAAAAATCTTTAATTTCCTCATATGTATCATTAGTGGTTAAGTGCATAAATTTGAATAGTCATATTAGTTGGTGTTCCTTATAGGCATATGGCTGTTGTCCTAACACTAACTGCATTGTACTCCAGGATAGATCCTGAAATACTCTTTGACAATGAATGTGATGCTATTCTCCCTTCATTTTTTCATTTCTGGCACAGAAAAGCATACAATTGTCCAATTCAAAATAGCCAGTCTATTTCAGCTCACTAATGCTTAGACTATCGATCTTCAAATGTTCCATTTGATTATTAAGCACTTGCAATTTTCCTTGATTCATACTGTGTACATTCCACATTCTAATTATTAATGGATATTTGCAGCTGTTTCTTCTCATTTTGAGTTGTGCCACATCAGTAAATGAAGGTCCCAAAAGGTTTACTCCACCACATTATTTAAGGTCACCTGTACTTGGAGGAGGCAGTCCTTTCCCAGTTGTATTTCGAATGCTTTCCATTCTGAGGGGCTCATCTTCCTGGCACTACATCAAGCAGTGTTCTCTTGTTGTCCAAAAGGTTTTCACTGGCCAATTATTTTTAGAAACAGATTACGAGGTCCTTCTCTGTGGTCTGTCTTAGTCTGATAGCTACTTTAAGAGCTGTCCACCCTAACTTACCCTGCTGGGAGTATTTGACAAACCAGAGGCATAGCTTCCAGCATAACAGTGACCGGAAAGCAACACAGTATGACAAACTGTACACCCATAAAAATAGTATTTATTACAATTTTTATTTGAGCATTGAAAATTGTTATTGTTGTTAAGATTCTGCTCCAACACATAGTGCCTTTATGCACAACAGAATGCAACAATGCCCAATCCTGTACCAGCCTCACAACGTCATTATGTTTGAACCCACTGCTGTTGCCACTGTCAATCCATAATCATTGCTATCTCCTGAAATGGCTGAATGTCGACCAACTATTTTTGGTACAGTGACTCTGTGTATTCCTTCTACCTTCTTTTTATGCTTCCTACAAAGTTCAATATTTTGCTCATAGAATCCTTTAATAATACAAGTTGAAGGATTTTTTTTTTTTTTACTATCGTTCATTCAGCTTAAGAAATACTGGACCTGTTCAATTATAATTAGTAATGCTATGTTTCGCTGAAATTTCCTTTGAGGCTAGAAGTGGTCCATCACTCCTAGCATTTTACTGCCAATCAGTATGCCAGCTGAATTACTGATATTTCAGCAAAACCTATTTTCAGGATACCAGAGCAAGCATGCTATGGGAAAGCTTATCCTCTGTGTGATCACTAATTATTTTTATCTGTTAACATAAAGAATTTATAAAAAGGTTTGTTACAAATGAATGAATGACAAACCATGTTTCATATTTGATTCCATGACATGCACAATAAATTCCATTTATTATCTAACTAAGATGAGAGAGAGTTCTAAGCAGTGAAAAGATCCCAGTCTAAAGCCTTCTTCTTTCTAAACATTATTGGTCTGCTGTTGTTGTTAAGTGTCGCCAGTTTTGACTCATAGTGACCCTGTGTAGGGTTTCCAAGGAGTGGCTGCTAAGTTTGAACTGCCAACCTTGATGTTCAAACCGACCTTGCGGTCATCCAGTGCATTAGTCTGCAGCGCCACAACCAGGATTCCTATCTGTAAGCACTAGTAAATTTGGGATCCAACTTAAAACTCTCCAACTTCTCCACCAAGATAATATATAAATTGCAACTTCACAATATTATACATACATGTAGATATCTTTCCTTTCCAAGCTACATTTTTAGAGCTTTTATCTCCATTATTCATTTTTCTTATAGTAGCCAAAGGAAAAACAAATTTAATTTTCCTAAATCTTGAAGAATCAAACATACCAAATAATTTTTCTATTCATACTTACAGTATTTGTAAATTTTCATACATGTAAAATTCTATTTATACTTGTAATATTTCTATAATAGTTATATATTCGTTTTTAAGCCTTCAAAATTATTTTAGCTTTTTCTCTTCCACTTTCTTTTCTAAAAATTCAATCTAAATGTTATTATGCAGGGCTCATAAAATTAGGTGTCCATGCCTGAAGGAGAGCCACAGAGGCTCAGAGCAGGGTACCAAAGCCTGTAAGATGAGGAAGGCTTCCAAAGGAAAGGGGAAAGGCCTAGCATGAGGTAACTTAGCCCCAACAGGAAGTAGGGAAAATAACTGTGACAGTCCTTGTATACCTTTATTGTTGTTAGGTGCTTTTGAATTGGCCCCCATCTCATGATAACCTCATGAAAAACAGAACAAAACACTGTATAGTTCTGTACCATTCCCACAACTGGTTGTCGGTCAAACTGTTATGATCCATACAGTTTTCGTTGGCTGAAACAGATCATAAGGCCTTTCTTCCTTGCTAGTTTTCCTTAGTCTGGAAGCTCTACTGAAACCTGTTCAACACCACAGTAACATATTAGCCTCTACTGCTGCATATACTCAATAAATGGAATTCCCAGGGTGATCATTTGTATTATTAGAATCCTCTTCTCTCATCTCTTTCAAATTCAGAGCATATTGTTGAATATTAAGTTAAATCCTCATATAACAGGACTGCACTCTAGTGTATAACCCAGGGGAAAAAATTATCTTGGAAAACAAGTACCCAAGAGACACTGTTTCCTTTTGGAGAAACATCAGTGAGGATAACCAATAAAGAACCACACAGCCTTTTATACTTCTCTAATGTTCTATTTCTTGCTTTATTTCTCAACTTTCACTTAGGTTCCAAAATTGTACCACCATAAAAAATTAGACAAAAACAAGCATATAGCCTGTTATGACACCAGTTAAAATTTAAAATGCATTTACCTAAGAGAAAATTTAACACAAAGTCTCTTAAAAGTTATTTGTGCTATTGTTTTCTTTAGCTTATTTTAAAAGTAGATTAACAGTTTAAAATATAAACAGATCAATTTTAGTAAGAAATCATAACTTACCTACTACCATAAGTGTGAATTCAAACCCTCTCTTCACTGATTTTCTGTATACTTGATTTGGGAGATTTGCAAATCCCACATAGCCTTCAAGATTCTTCTGTTGCTAAGAAAATCACAGAGAGCCAAGTTATTCATGCATCGACACTCTTATCACACATTTCAAATTTCCTTCATTAACTGATTTTAGAAAATTATGCCAACTTTCATTCATGGAAAATCAAACTCCTTTTATAATGTTAATATTAACAATAAAGTATTAGTAAATTGCAACAATGGATAAAATGAGTTGATAGACAATAGTCAATTATAAAAACCCAAAGGAATAAAATAAAAATTAGAGAAACTTGCCTCAGAACAAAACGTCAATGACAGAACTTAGTAACAATAACATTTTGACCAATTAAAAAGTAGAAGGATAAAAATAAAATGCCCTTAGCCTCTTTTAAGGAGACCTGGTAGCTTATAAATTCGGCTAGTAACCACAAGATCAGCTGGTTTAATCTACCAGCCGTTACGAGGGAGGAAGATCAGGTTTTCTGCTCCAGAAAATATTTACAGCCTCACAAACCCTATATAGGTTGCGATGTATGAGTCGGAACTGACTCAACTGTACACAACCAGTCTCTTTGATTTTATCCTTTTGCCAGAGGTGTTTCTTGATATGTGTCCTCTTACTCATGAAATGAAATCAACATGTTGAGCCTAAAGCACTATTTTTTAAACAAATTTTTAAAGGCATTCATAATCTGTGTCAATTAGCAAATATTATCTTCAGAGCTATTTTACCAGTTTCCAATGATATCATTTGAATATTTCAGATGATCCCATTGCTTCTATCTTCAGGAAAATCAGACGTTTCCAGATTTTAAAGTTAATGTTTCAGTTTTCTATATGGTTTTTATTTCCTGATGCGACTTCATGAATAATTTCATGTGACAATTCAAAGAAAACTCCTTCTCAGTTGATATACAGGTAGTCTCTGACTTATGATGTATTTGAGTTAAGACAAACTGCACTTAAAAAACGTCTGTCTTTTGTTGCATACATCTTATCCTTAGTAATATGTACTACATACAATGTCATAGTGTTTAATTTCCTGATGTTGTCATTCTCATGCCAACCCATAAAGACAAATAAAGATTGGATTTGTAAAGATACTGGTAATAAAATGCAACAATGATGAACATTTTTTTTAAAAGAAAAAAGAAAGGTATCTACTCTCAGAATCTACTTAAAATTGAGTCTTTAAGAAAGAACTCTAGCTTAAGTTGGGGACCACCTCTAGTAAACAAGTTTGGTTTTTAATTTACCTACTGGTGAGAAATACTGTCCACAGTTCAGAACATTATAGTTAGTAGAGTCTTAAACTGGTTTGTTTTACTTAGAGGTAGGTCTTACTGTTGTTGCTGTTAAGTGTCGTCAAGTAGGTTCAGACTCTTATCGACCCATATAGGGCTTCCACCAAGGAGCTGCTGATGAGTTTGAACTGCAAGCCTTTCACTTATCAAGTCCAGTATTTATCCTACAGTGAAACACCATGATCTAGACATAGATCTTAGTCATCAGGAAAACACAATGGCAAAATATTCCTAGGAGATACACATTTCTCTGAAAAGTCTTACCACATTTAAATTCTCATTGAAATACAAAAAAAACCATGAGACAAATGCATCAACTCAATATATTTGGATTTAACAAAGAACAGAAGTCTGAAGACATCCCTTGCTTGATATTGTTAGATACCATCAACTGTCAATTCCTATTGTCTATTAACAAAAGTCAGTTTTCTTAATGCTATTTTTAAGTGCCATTGAGTCGGTTCCCACTCATATTGACCCTATGTACAACAGAACTAAACACCACCTGATCCTGTGCCATCCTCACAACTGCTGCTACACTTGAAGCCATTGTCACTGCCATAGTGCCAATCCATCTTGTTGGGGGTCTTCTTCTTTTTCGCTGTTCCTCTACTTTACCAAGCATGATGTCCTTCTCCAAGGACTGGTCCCTCCTGATAATATGTCTGAAGTATGAGAGACCAAGTCTGGCCATGTTGGCTTCGAAGAAAACATTCTGATTATACTTCTTCTAACACAGATTTGTTTGTCCTTCTGGCAGTCCAGGGTACCTTTAATATTCTTCTCCAGTACCATAATTCAAATGCATCAATTCTTCTATGGTCTTCTTTATTAGCTGTCCAACTTTCACATGCATAAGAGGTTGCTAAAAATATCATGGCTGGGGTCAGGTCCTCAAATTGACATTTTGCTTTTGAACACTTTAAAGAGGTCTTGTACAGCTGATCTGCCTAATGCAATATGAAGTCTGTTTCTTGACTACTGATTCCATGAGTGTTGATGGTGGATCCAAACAAAATGAAGTCTCTGACAACTTCAATCTTTTCTTCATTTATCATGATACTATTTATTGGTCCAGTGGTGAGGATTTTTATTTTCTTTACATTGAGATACAACTCACAACCAAAGGCTGTGGTCTTTGATCTTCATCAGTAAGTATATTAAGTCCTTTTCACTTTCAGACAACATAAACTATTCTTAGCTACCATCAAGTCAGTTCCTGCTGACAAAATACCACCCAGTTCTGTGACATCCTCACAATCGTTGCTATGTTTAAGACCACATGTTCAACTACTGTGTCAATCCATCTTATATGGGAGTTCCCTCGTTTTTGTTTACCCTCTGTCTTACCAAACATGATACTCTTTTGTAGTAGTTGGTCTTTCTAGTGATGTATCCAAAGCGAGCAAGATCAAGTCCCACTATTGTCCCTCCTAAGTAGCATTCTGGCTATATTTTTCCCAAAACAAATTGTTCTTTCTTCTGGCAGTCCACAGAACATTCAATATTCTTTATCAACACCATAATTCAATTATTTTTCCTTTTTTTTTTT